CAACAAGCGACCTCGAGCATTACAACACACCAATCATGCACCACTTGCACTCGCTTCACGATCACTTACAAGCAACTGTCACACCTCACACGAGAGACTTGCAGACACTCTCGGACACGGTCAACATCAGCCCTGATCTCGCCAACAGCCACTGCTGCCTGAGACAGCAACTCCGGGTTCTGTACACAATAAAACACCCCTCCTGGTGACTTCCATCGTTACGCCCTTATTGCTGTGTTTTTCATTTAGGAGTCAACAGGGCGTAATTAGACAGTGACATCTCGGCTCTTGGTACCATTACGACAGGCAGGTGTTTAATTTCAGTCAGGAAACCATCCAAAAAGGTTAACTCGTCTACGGGACTAAAGACTCCCTCCCATAGGACCTGCGGATTTGGCAATGCACATTATTTGTGGGCAAAGTGGAGTACGCTTCACACTGTTGCAACATCCGCCGCCCTTCAGTCACGTCATGAGTCGGTGAAAAACACCCGACACAACCAGCGGACTTCTCGTGGTAGCAAGTAGAATAACACCAAGGGCTCCTTATTTGTTCGCATTGTGGATCCACGCAACCCTTGTTGGAAGTCCGGTGGTCGAAAAACACTATTGTGGTGGGTGTCGCTATTTTGGTTCCCCACGACATAGCCCATCCCGACTGTGAAGGTCGGCACTAGGCGTGATAGATCTACGGGCTCATTGATACCCCGACCCCTAACGGCAGGCTATCATGCATACCGAGCGTAAAATCAACCTAAGAACGATAACCGTTAAAGACAGTAGCCAAATTAGTATTTACGCAGAGGTTAAGGGACACCACTGGCTGTTCACAGACAGCCAATGAGCAATAATGGAGCCACTAATTCCGTCAAACATCAGTCTCTTCTTTTCCATGGGATGTCGACAATTTCGCTTACGATGATCTGATATCCATTGCCGGTATCTCGCCGAGGACAGCCTAGTCCAAAACAAATATAGAGTAAAATGCAGATTTATATAACAAAAGGATGACAAATGTTAATGTCACTGGACCGATTTATGTGAAAAGGATTATTCTGAACCAATCAACATACGCACGAGGTCTGAAACATAACCACACTGGGAGAATACAGGAAGTAATGAAAAAGAAGAAAAAGCAGTCCAAGTATGTTCAACCCGTGCACACACACAAACTCTATGGGATAACAACAGAGGGGCCGAGAAAGATGACTGATGAGGAGACAGCAAGCGCGCTTTAAAGGTGCTTGGAGGTAGAAAAATATACAACCGATTCTCGGTCTAGCTGCGCCCGTTACCAAGACGGGCCAAATCTTCTGGGTGGAGAAAACAACAAGAATCACCATAGCGGCAGGGACGGGGGTTGCGGCAGTTCTTCTTTGGATGCATGTACTCACACTGGTTGGGTTCTGGACAAAGGG